CGAAGGAAACATTTACATATGGCTAGTTGTATGTCACATGCTTAAGAAATCCTAAGAATTTATTCTTTACTGTTAAAAAAGCAAAAAAGAAACTCTTAAAAAATATTGTTTACCATAAAGTCTTATAAAATTAAATTACATAAATTATTAAACCGCGAAACAGGTTTTTTGCCAAAGTATTTTTCCAAACAAAGCAGCTTATTTAAATTTCATTGATTGGTTTGTGAAATTGAATGAAAATGAAATGAGTTTGTAAATCTCAATAAAAAAAATGTTAGAAATAATTTCAACAGTCTATATAATATAGAGGATGCCTGTGTCTGTGTGATACCTTTTCACTCAAGATCCATCCAACTGATTTTGGCCAAACTTGTAAAATGTAAGAGATAGATTCTTAGTGTAAAAAAAAAAAAAAAAAAAATGATAATTTCTTTAAAAATTAATAAAGCCAATCAAAAATAGATAAGTTCAACTTTTTCCTCCCATTTTATTCAAACTTGGTAAGTAGGTTACTTATATCATGGCGAGTTCAATTATACCTTATTTTTATTTCTACACCGCTGTTTAGTGAAAAACCACGAAAAATGAAAACTCGATTTCAACACAAATTTTCAACTAAAATCTCTCTCCTTTTTCAAGCAATCTAATAAAAACTTCACTTAACTGAAGCCAATGATAAGTTGATTGTTTAACAGTCATTTAACTTGAAAACTGAGTCCACCCATATAGAGAAAACCCACATAAATAGTGAAAAATGGCGATTTTTACTGGTTTATTTCTTTTTTGTTGATCTTTCAACCAATTTTCATCAAATTTAACAATTGTTTTATAAATGAAAGTACATTAAATTAATTAAAGAAAATAGACTATGTTAGATCTGAACATGATGCTGTTTTTGCTCCGTTCTAATTGAACGCTTTTTGTGATCGACCAGCTGGGCATGGCTCTTAGTGATAAATACTTTAAGGATTTCAAAACACATCAGCATGTTGTGCAAAAAATTCTAGCGTATGGTATATTATTTTTATTAGAATTCTCCCCGCCACGTGTTTTAGAATTGTGTCTTCTTCAAACCATCCATAATTTAGTTAATGGTTTCAAATCCAAATACTTTGTTTTTCTTTGATATTGAGTCTGTACAAATGAATTGGAGTAATTTTTTTTTTTTTTTTGTTAGAAACATTTATTGAATTCTAGATGGTTTTAAAAAGATGCAAATCTGAGTGTTTCCAGCATTGGCGTGAAAGATCAGGACGAGAGAAGAAACGAAGAAGAACTGAGTGATGTGAATTAACCTCCCAACAGGTGACAATGGAATGAGAAAATGAAAGAAACAGTATAGAGGAGGAGGGGGAATTTATTAGGTGAAATGAAAAAACATTGTGAGAAAATGGTAAGAGGGATAAGAGATGCAGGAGGCAGGAAGCACAAGATTCTAATTGTTAGTCACAAGAATGAGAAAGACAGGAATAGAGATGAGTATGAGGGAAGGAAATAGAATTGTGCAAGAGGAATTGGGTTTATTTTGAGTTCTAATGATGCCAGAAAAATGAAAGAAAAATCGGAGTGAAATATATATATATAGAAACAGAACAGACTTGAACAAAACAGATGTCATTATTGTACCTTTAGGATTCTTTCGACCTACACTATTTCAAAAGGTATTCATTGGCGATATACAAACACAATCAAGACACATTAACAATTATAACGAGTGAGGAGTGAAAGTTGGAATGTGATTAAAATAAATTTTAATTGTAAATAAATTCAGGAATAAAAAAAAAAAAAAAAAAAAAAATTGTGAAGTTCCAATAGAGTATAAAATAGGAAAAGACACTCACAGTCCCTCAATCAACCATAAGGAACACATGAAATGCTCCTTTTGTTTGCAAAGGCTTGGCTGGTAGAATTTGATATACACAGCCTCGAGAACTCTGAGATGGTAAACTGAGCAAGCACTATGTAGCTATAATTATATACATATAAGACAATAGGAAAACTGTAATAGTTGCTGACGTGTTTCGTCCAATGTGGACTTTCTCAAGGGCAAAAAACACATCGGCTACTATTACAGTTTTTCTATTGTCTTTTACACTTATAAATAGTCTCATTCTACAGGTTAACTCTGAGAAATTTTTCATATATGATGACTTTCCCATCGATTTCAATGTATGAGGATCCGATAATCTCATTAAGTTTTTATCCGTGTCATATGTGAAACTTCAGTCCAACTAGTGACCTGCATACAAGCCCACATATTGTGCAACAGCAAGGATCACATGACACAGCCACAGGAATATTTGCTGATGCTTTTCACCATTGTTTTTAGTCTCTTAGCCAGTGAATAAGACTGATTTCAAAATTTCTGATATCAGTAGTTATTTCTATCCAGGGTAACTCGCTCAAAGTTAGTATAAGAACAACTGAGAGGTTACTCTAGCTTGTCTTTATACCTGAGCCATGGCCATCCAAAATGTCCTTCATCCAGTCAAGCTGACTATACATGAAGACTTTAGGTTGGTTGTTTGGAGTTTTATGGCATATCAACCACTATGGGTCATTTAATGCCAAATCCAGTTTGCACATATATTAAATATATATACTTTGTAAACAGGACTCAATGTGCAAGATTGCATATATATATATATATATATATATATATATATATATATATATATATATATATATATACACACACACACACACACAACAATGCGATGGGTAAATTGTTTCCATTTTATATTTTTAATTTCATGCATGTGTATCGTTTGTTTTTGATTTTGTCAACTGCCCAGTACCAGCAGGTTGGGCACCATGATGCAATTCACTCTGCCAGAAATTAGAATGCTGTAATGCTTGGCATTCATGTCAGGAGCTCCAATATGAACATTTCAGAGCATTTATGTGTCAATTTAAGTACTGTGCAGAGGATTCAGAAAGAGTTGGATGAATCTAATGGTGATTACGAAGGTATGGTAGCTCAAAAAACTCACTTTGATTGTTCTGATAAGAAAAGAACACCCAAATTTGTTGGTGAGGGCCTCAGACTCAACATGGAGGCCTATATCAAGTGCCTTGAGGAGGTAGTGCAGCCTTGGGTCAAGAGGGTGGCTGCTGAAAGAACCTATAGCTGGCAACAGTACTCTGCACCATGTCACACAACCAAGAGAGCCAAGTCCTGTTTGATTATTATGTGTGGGGTGCAGTTAAGCAAAAGACCAACAAAACTCCTTGTAACACCAAATATGAAATCAAGGTAAGGATTATGGCAGTATTGATCACCTTAAAGGAGATGGTCAAGAGATGCAGGAGATTCTGAAGTCACCTGGAGGTCATGGTTTAAGACAATGGTGATTTTATTGAATAAATTTACTCTTAAGTATTTCAAGATATTTTTGTGCAATTTTGGTAAATATATCTGTTTAAATAAGATGTCAGTGTCATTTTCATTTTTGCGTCATTTAGACAACAATTTTTCCATCGCACTCTGTTTGTATATATATATTTTTTCCCTTTCTATTCCTGCCATATCATTTTTTTAATCCCTTTTTCCTGTCTGAAAAGAAGGGTGGGACTTTGTTATGTCCCCGGGGGATGAAATGTAGTTATGTGAAGAATGATAAAAAGATGAAACGAGAGGATAAACTATTAACAAAATTTTATCAATTGAAATACAATTTGGATGGTGAGAGGAGCCACTGGATGTATTAATGATTACATGTGGTCTGGGAGATCTGTCTAGCTCACCTTTGTGTCATGGCCCAAAACTCCCCCTACTCAAAATTCCCTCTCCTTCCAAGGAATGGATGTGACAGAAAGCCTTATTTTTCATCCCTCTGGTCAAAGTGGGATAACTTTTCTTAAATATTTTTGTTAGAGCCAACTGTGTTCTAACACAGGGGTCGACAACCTACAGCACACATGCCACACCATGCAATTTCCAATGGCTCAAAGCCGCAAATGACATCACGAAGTTCAAACCAATAACTACTACAAAACAAAGAAGATATTTAGTTGTTTCAATTTTAATATATACTAAAGTATATATACTATATATTACTATAGTAATAGTAATACTCAGTTGGTAAAAAAACCTCAGATAGCACAACTTGCAAGTATATCAAAAAAAAAATTGGTACCCGAGGAAAAAAATTGGAAAAAAAAGAACTAGAAACATCTGAAGAGGGCGAAATAAATCGTCTAGTGCCTTAAGTTTTTAAGTCCAAAGAAAAAACCCAAGCAAGTAATAAAGCTAAAACAGAGTGCTCAATATGCTAAGTAGAGCTGGGATAAATAAAATAAATCTTAAAGAGCCAAGAACAACCTACCTAGGTTTCACCTAAATGGATCTTCAGGATAATTTTATTTTATTTATACTATATATTACTATATAAAATATGTTGTAGAACAGGTATATTGACATTGACGTGTATAAAAATACGTATGCTGTTGGCAAACTGAATGATTTTAAAACCCTAAGTCGGCACATAGTTAGCAAATGGTTGCCGAACCCTGCCTATGCAAGACTTCGAGATTACAGGAATATATATGTGAGCTGATAATTTTTTTTTCTCATTCAAATCACTTTTCAAAACATACTTTTTTAGCCATACAAGTTGAAATCAAGTACTTTATATTTTACACTTGAACATTTTTTGACCCAACAAATATGGATTGGCAACACATACTGTCAAAAAATACGATAAAATTATGTATATAAAAATTTTAATTCTCTAAAGTGTTTTCTAGGCTTGGCATATTTCCTCGTCAATTCTACTTGACTAGGTCATTTTTTTTTCTCCATTTTACAAACCACAAACAGAAATCCTTATAATTTAGATGTTCTTAACTCTTCACAACATTTCTTTTTAAATTTAGAGTTGCCACTGCACAAAGAGAACAAGCCATTAAGACTGTTCCATTCTTAATGGAGTTAAGAACTATTTTAACGCACATTTAGTACGAATAGGAAGGTAAAAATATTTAAGAAAGTAAGGCTTATGTCTATATCATGTGGAAACACCAGTTCTCATACAATCACCAAAGCTAAGCAACATAGAGCCTGGCCAATAACTAGATGGGCGACAGCTTGGGAATATCAGGTGCTGTAAGCTTGGTGTGTGGGTGGTGTAACACATAACTTGGAACTGAAAGTCTGAGAGCCAAGTTCCAATTACAGTCAGATACATTATATTTACTTACAAGTAATTCATACCTTGGGAAAGGTATGAATCAACCTCTTCACCCCCCCCCAGCTATGGGTTAATTAGTAGGACTCGTATCAGTAAATCATTTTTATCTCCCTAAAATTCTTGCAATGTAAAAATAACATCTGGCTTTAAATAACCTGCAAAAGGTTGATAAGCCATAAAAAATATTTATTAAGGGATAATAGAAAAAAAAAAAAAAAAAAAATGACTCACGAGACATCCAGCCTTTTGATGGTGATCTTTTCTTCTTCTTTCCGCCAGAAGAGATAATACACTGCAAGTCCCAGCAACGTACTGATGATGAAGATGTCAAGAAAAGATATCATGCTGACTTCTTCCACATTTGCAGATGCTTGCTCAGTGGCTTCTGTTATGATGGACATCATCTTGCTTGGTCAGATATGGTGTGGTAGAGAAGAGAGAAGAAAATCCTTGTATCTTAAGGTCAGTTGGCTTTTTGCTGTGAATGTCCACAAGTAATCTGAAAAGAGAAACATTTTTTTTTAAATAAATATTAATATTTAACATGTGTAGAACATCTGAGCAAAATTTCTAAAGGCCAAAATTTAAAAAAAAACAAAAAAAACTACAAACAAAAAAGACAGAAAACCAGAAAAGAAACAACACTACAGTAACAACAAAAAACAACACTACAGTAACAACAAAAAACAACACTACAGTAACAACAAAAAACAACACTACAGTAACAACAAAAAACAACACTACAGTAATGAAATTTTCATATCTCCCAATATGGTACAATCATTTATCTTTAGAAAGCACTTTGAATACTGTTTAATATTCACACAAGTACTATGATCATAAAACAAACAGAACTGGTATTATCTGTGGTTAAATGTTGAACCATGTCAGTGATGGTCTGACTCTTGTTGATTTGACACAGAATGAAAATGTTAGCATAGTGGCAAATACCAAAATCCACCATTTTGAATTTAGTCCAACTTGGTAAAACCCTTGTAACTCAGGCCACAGTCAAATTTTGTACATATCTTGCCATAAAGCAGACAAATTTATTAATTTTTTTAAAAAAAGGTTAAAGATATGTTTTTTTGAGAAATTAAAAAGGTCAAATTACCTTTAAACAAAAAAATAAATAGATCATTTTTTAGATCTATCCAAATACTTTAAAATGGTATATAATTCAGTTTTGCAGATGAAAAAAAACCTGAGATATTGATATTTAAGCTTTATGACTATTTTCCAAAATTAACCTTTTTGGAAAGAGTCAAAAAGGTCATATCTCAGGAAACCGTTAACCTAGAGATTTAAAATTGGTACCATTCCATTTCTATCATGAAGCTCTATAAGTGTACCAAATTTGAAAAAAAAAAATCTGTGTTGGTGATGGTCAGACCCTTGTTGATTTGACACAAAATGACTATTGCAGCCTTCAGCAGGTGCATATTGATCTATGGAATCTACAGGGAATTCCAAACCGATTGATTGTATTTAACAGCCCCTCAACGTCTTGTGGGTCATTTAGTGCCAAATTGATTGTGTCAAACATATTTTATAGTTGGTCAAGTATGGACAAGAGTAAGTTTTATAGTTCTTCAGATAGGATTGAAGAAAAATTTTATAGTTTGTTATGTACGGTTGAAGGAAAATGTATGCTAGAGAAGTTTTATTGTTCATCAGGTATGGTTGAAAACAAGTTTGATTTTTTGTGAAGAATGATTGAAGTTTTTTGTTTATAAAGATTTTTTTAATTATTTTGATTTTTTTAAATTTTTTTTTATAATTTAATATAAAGTCAGTTCTTTTTGAATTCCAAACTGGACCCTTGCTCTATAAGGGTAGACTCTTCTCGTTCCACTTTCCATGTCTAGGGATATCTTGTCTAGTTCTTATTTTCAGTACTGCTCAGTTATTGCTTAACCCCTGTACATTACCTAGATCAGTACATACCTGACAACAGCTGGAGGGTACAACAGCCAATAGGTTGTGATAACAACAAAGATAAGGACAATAGTCCAAATGTAAATAGTGTATATAATACAGACTTCACATTTCATCTAATTTCTTTCATTCTTGTAAATGACTGAATCTAATAAAAAATTTAGAAACTCAAGAATTCACATGGACTGCATATACAAAAGAGCTCATTATTAAAAGGTAAATGTGTGGGTGGGGTAAATGATATTGACTTAAAATGAGAAATTCAAGAGCAGAGTTCAAATTCCAGTCAAGTTTGTTACATTCACTTATATACAAATAACCTTGGGAAAGGTATGAATCCACATCCCACAGTTATGGGTTAAATAGTAGAGCAAATTGTGCTAACTAGCTATGGTGGGAAATCAGTCAGAAGAGAAAAGAAAGAGAAAAATTGAAAAGAAAGAGAAAAATTGAAAAGAAAGAGAAAAATTGAAAAGAAAGAGAAAAATTGAAAAGAAAGAGAAAAATTGAAAAGAAAGAGAAAAATTGAAAAGAAAGAGAAAATTGAAAAAAAAAAAAATTGAAAAGAAAGAAAAAAATTGAAAAAAAGAAAAAAATTGAAAAGAAAGAAAAAATTGAAAAGAAAGAGAAAAATTGAAAAGAAAGAGAAAAATTGAAAAGAAAGAGAAAAATTGAAAAGAAAGAGAAAAATTGAAAAGAAAGAGAAAAATTGAAAAAGAAAAAAAATTGAAAAGAAAGAGAAAATTGAAAAGAAAAGAAAATTGAAAAGAAAGAGAAAATTGAAAAAGAAAGAAAAATTGAAAAGAAAGAGAAAAATTGAAAAGAAAGAAAAATTGAAAAGAAAGAAAAAATTGAAAAGAAAGAGAAAATTGAAAAGAAAGAGAAAAATTGAAAAGAAAGAGAAAATTGAAAAGAAAGAGAAAAAATTGAAAAAAAGAAAAAATTGAAAAGAAAAAAAAATTGAAAAGAAAGAGAAAAATTGAAAAGAAAGAGAAAATTGAAAAAGAAAGAAAAAATTGAAAGAAAGAGAAAAATTGAAAAGAAAGAAAAAATTGAAAAGAAAGAGAAAAATTGAAAAGAAAGAGAAAAATTGAAAAGAAAGAGAAAAATTGAAAAGAAAGAGAAAAATTGAAAAGAAAGAGAAAAATTGAAAAGAAAGAGAAAAATTGAAAAGAAAGAGAAAAATTGAAAAGAAAGAGAAAAATTGAAAAGAAAGAGAAAAATTGAAAAGAAAGAGAAAAATTGAAAAGAAAGAGAAAAATTGAAAAGAAAGAGAAAAATTGAAAAGAAAGAGAAAAATTGAAAAGAAAGAGAAAAAAGAAAAATTGAAAAGAACCTTCATATTGGACAGAAACTGCAGGAACACAAAATAGTGCCTTCTGTCTCCTAATATATGCACAACCAAAACTCCTATGATGACACACTGGGGTGTGTCAAAAGACGAACTAGTTAATAGTTATTCAGGGGTTTGCTTGCTTGGCCTCGTTTGGTAGGTAGGTAGGGCAACTTCTACATCAAACTAATAGATCGGCTCTTCTCTTTAACTCTTCTTTCTACCAATTCTCTGCCCATCTCAACACTTTGCTGGCAACACTAACAGTTGATATTGGAACTATCCTGTACGCAGCCAAGTGTAGACTAGAACCAACTTCCTCAATCCCAACTGTGACTTTTAATATACACCTGTGACTAGAAATTCCCAATGTCCAGCTATGTCACTTGAACCAAAAGCTTTCTTTTATTTATATATTTGTTCCCTTTTAGTCAACTGGATGTTACTTAGGAGATCCAACTTAAAATCTGCTGGCCATAAAACACAAAATACTTGAGAGGGGGAGGAGGAGGAAATAATAATAATAACAAAGTTGCATTTGAACTCGTATACCAAATACAAGCTTAAGTCTCTCCCTGTTTCTGGCACGTTACTTATTTGGTATGACACGCTCATTATTTGATATGATGCCATATCACAAAACATACACTCTTATATTTATTGGAACTGAAATCCTTATTTTAGAAGTTTAAAAATTCCCACAAGGAAAAGTATTCCAGATGACATTTGCACTGGTACAAAAAAAAAAAAAAAAAAAAAAAAGTAAAAAAAACACAGTTTCAGTTTTTATAAGAACCATTATTCCACTATTTCCTTGCTTAGTGAACAAAGGAATAATTACTGAACTGTTATATAGGGTGCTTGAAAAATAACTCCCTATTCTATATTTGATGAACTCTCCCATCTAACTATAATTTTTACAAGACAGGAGAGTCCGTCATACATAAAACAGGGAGTTACTTTTCAATCACCCTGTATATGGCTAGGATGGGTCTCACAGATGAAGAAGAGACTTGAAGCAAGAGAAATGTAGTTCTACAGAAGGATGCTGAGAATACCATGGACTGAACACGCGAGCAACAACAAAATTTTAGAGAAAATCAAAATGAAAAAGATACACTTAACATCAGGAAGGGATGGGTGAAATTTCTAGTGCACACAATGAGGATAGGGGGTCTTGAAAAATTCGATACCCACAGGACAGATTGAAGAGGGACAAAGGAAATAACACAATTTACCTAGCAAGCTTGAGTAAACAAGGTTTAGAAGAGATAATAAAACGACAAAATGTATTAAGAGCTACAAAGGATAGGAAATTATGGAGAGCCACGCTCAACAACATCCTGAAGGGACATGACATATAGAAGAAGTAAAGGAAAATTAATAAAGACTTAAAAAGAATTTCTAGCAGTAAGAAAAGGAAATTAATTCTGTACCAAATTCTAACAGCTGACATTGTGCACTTTGTACTGAAAATAAGCAAAAGGATTGTCAATGGTCAGGAATCAAAGAAAATTACTGATAAAAATGGAATTGTACTGTTTGGAAAGAAAAATTTTAAAAATCTATAAGACAAAGAAAAATCTGCAATGTTAATGATCCTGACCTGGCATCTCAGCTTTAGTCCCTTTCCCACCGCCTTAATGTAGTTTCCCTGTGCCTTTTCTATAAATACTTTCATGGTAATTGTTCTGGTGAACTTTCCTCTATGATACATAGAGTTTTAGGAATTTAAGCATGGCACTAGAATGGTGACAAGATCTCATTTTACAGTTAAAATTACCAGGATGTAACCATACTGTTATATAGAAATAAAGTATCACTGCTGAAACTTGAGCAAACACAGGCAATCCCATTATTGAATTAAGTGGATCACGTGACCATAGAGGAAATGCATATATAGGAAGTCGTGTGATGTCTAAAGGATCATTATTACTATTCAGATCTGCATTTCTAGTCTATTACTATATGGAGCGCTATTCTCTACTCTATTCACTGTACTATTTCTCTATTCAGATAACTATACAGATTACTGTTCGAGCGAGTATTATCGAGCAAGTACTATTAGTGTGAGACTTATTCAAAGGCGTCTGACACCAGTATTATTCAATGGCGTGCTATAGTTGTATCTGC